TGATCTCAATGATTCCAATAGCTAAAAGCCCTAGGCGATAACTAAATATAGCTCTACACATGATGCTTAAATCATTAGCTAATTTAACTTATTATTAATTATATTCAGCTCGTTTTAGCCTCATTCATTGTGAACTTTGGTCTCTTTTTTTCTTTAAATTGCTTTTTCATGAGTCAGGCTTTTCCAACTTCTTAATTTTTTTCGCTATAACCTCCCACGTACTCTTCGTTTTCTGCCCAATGAGGAAAAAGTAGCCTCACTTGTTAATACCTCATACATTTGAGCTTGTCAAAGGCCGCCTTTCTTGAATGATGACGTCTGAGATGATGGTAGAAAATTTCACCACTCTTGTGGCTAATCTACCTTGTTAACGTCAATACACTGCTCTTTCTTCAACAAGACAAACATTTTGTGTTAATTCTACAAGAGCATATTGGAAAAAATATAAATTCTCGTATTTTTCACTTATTTCAGTGTATCAAATGCGGGTAGCGGAAATTTCATATGAAATGGAGCTTGTTTAAATGGGCGTGTAATTAATGAAATGGGAGAGTTAATCTCCCGATTGCTGGATAACATCCACCTACAGCAGTGTTTGCATTGTGGTAACTATGAGTAACGGACCAAACTATCGGCGCTTTTTTCTATTAAATTTAAGAATTAATTTTAGTTATTTATTGACTTTAATAGAATTTGAAATACTGCACTATTGTAGATATACCTATTAAGCGTGTTCTCTTAATATTAGCAAACTTGCTTTAATTGAATGACTTGACCCCGAAACATCGATTGTGGATTGTGAATTTCCTATTTATATTTCCGATTTTAGTTGAATGAAGAAACCGGTGAGATTTCTGTTGGACCAGAGGGACTGGATAGAGAACAAATGGAATCCTTTGAACTCCTTATTGAAGTGGTTGATGGTGGAAGGCGGGAGTCTGGAAGGAGCGGTTCATCCCATCAACTCAATTGGAGTTCGGTAAATACTCGAAATACAGCCCAGGCCACTGTGCAGATTAATATTCAAGACGAGAATGATAATCCGCCTAAGTTCATCTTCCCTAAAAGCGATTCGCCGGTGAGTTATATGCCAGCATCTAAAATTAGTCCTTCTCATAAGTATCCTCAATAATTAAAATGAAGGCTCGTCAGTTTTACAGGGTTCACAAACTCTTCGTGGGATCTACAAATAAAAATATTTATTTGTTTCAAATGGCAGGCGTTTTGATAGTTATCATTAGCCCTTTAGCTGACTTCGGACTTCACAGGGGGAAGGAACATCAAAGTAACAGAAAGTCGAGGGGTGGGGAACAGAAGAGTGATTTACAGATGTAAAGAGACAGACATGAAGGCAGAGAAAAGGTAGGATGAGTACTGCGCCAGAAGTCAATCGCCAGTTAATAGACCTTTTTGCCGTATGAGTATACGTTGCCCAGGGTGCACCACGTGGAGGTAAGTCTATCACGCACCCCACAAATAAAAATATTGAATCTAATAAAAGCTACACTTGCACAAACCTGTAAGAGTGTGTGGGGGGGGGAGGGGAACTTACCCTTTGACCGGTTGACAAGTTTTTTAACACGGAAAAGTAATTGGAAGATTATCGGACTCTATTTCTTTCTCTTCTTCCTATTATCTTTTGGTTGGATGAACACGAACTAAGTTAAGTTACTTTGACACCCTCCTAATACCTACCTGCCCCGACCAAATTAGCATAACATTATAAAATTTTCCAATAATAATAATTATTATTATTTCAAATGGCAGGCTTTGTGATATATATCATTAGCCCTTAAACTTTGACTTCGGCTTCCCCCATGGGTGGGGGGTACATGTATAGCAGTTAATTAATAGCAGTTCATTAGCCGTCTTCTTGCTTCCCAGCATCACTGGCTTTTCGTCGTTGTCTTTAGAGCTGGACATCGAATCAGATGGGTCTTCTCCATTTCCTCCTGTAGGTTACATAGGGGGCATGTGGGTTATATGTATACTCCCAATCTGTGAAGATGTTTTGCCAAGCAATCCTGTCCGGTACGTAGTCAAAACTCAGCAGCGACATCGATTCTTTGCCAGTCGGCTATATCGGAGAGTGCCACTGTCCACTGTTTCGAGTCCACTGTCCACTGTTTCTCCTTTGTTCGGTTTAAGTTCGTTGCACCTTGAGATCTTGAATTCTCTTCTGATCGGGAGAGTGCCACTGTCCACTGTTTCTCATTTGCTATATCGAAGAGTGCCACTGTCCACTGTTTCTGATTCTTGGCTAGTCGGCTATGTCGGAGAGTGCCACTGTCCACTGTTTCTCATTTGTTCGAGGTTTAAGTTCGTTGCACCTTGAGATCTTGAATTCTCTTCTGATCGGGAGAGTGCCACTGTCCACTGTTTCGATTCTTGGCCCAGCCGGGTATGTCGGAGAGTGCCACTGTCCACTATTTCTCCTACCGAGCTTTAAGTTCGTTGTACCTTGAGGTCTTGAATTCTCTTCGAGCTTTAATTTCGTTGCACTAGGTCTGGAATTCTCTCCTGATTAAGGCCTTCATTGTGTGCCTTGACATGAATTCTCTCCTGATTAAGGCCTTCATTGTGTGGACTGTCCGATACGTAGTCTAAACTCAGCAACGGCTTCGATTCTCGTAGTCGGCTATGTCGGAGAGTGCCACTGTCCACTGTTTCTCTGTTGTTCGAGCTTTGAGTTCGTTGAACCTTGAGGTCTGGAGTTGTTCGAGATTCGAGCTTTAATTTCGTTGCACATTGAGGTCGGGAATTCTTTTCTGATTAAGGCCTTCATTGTGTGGGAAGACCCCGGTCCATAACCATTGTTGTCCTTGAATGTAATTCTCTCCTGATTAAGGCCATCATTGTGTGGAAAGACATTCTGGAATACTCTTCTGATTAAGGCCTTCATTGTGTGGAAAGACATCGGACGGTCCATGCATTGCAAAATCGTAGTCCCCCTCTTAGCAAGCGGTCCATGCATTGCAATATCGTTGTCCCCTTCTTAGCAAGTGTGTCAGCAAGCTCATTGCCTTTAAGGCCACAGTGACCAGGAATCCATTGTGGGACCTCTGTTTTCTTTTCTCTCTCAGCAGCTGATAGAGTTTTCTATATTTCTTTATCTCAGTTGTTTTGGATGGCTCTCTGTTTCCAATTGAGTTTATTGCTGACTGTGAGTCCAAAAGTATCACCGCTTTGGTGAATTTCGTATCCAGACAACATGATTGGCATAGTACCATCCTAATGGACTCTATTTCTCCTTCAATAGCGGATCTATTGTGTCCCACTGCTGCGTAGAAAGAGAAGAGTTCAGAATAGACACCTGCACCAACGTTTGTTTGGTTTTCTATGTATGACCCATCAGTGAAGACTTGGAGCCATTGATCTACAGTATAGTTCACATTGATTGTCTCAAGGGCCAGTGAGGGCATTTGCTCTGGAGGGGTGTTTGATTTCCTGAAGAAGTCATGCAGTTGGGTGCAACACACTACATCAGTGTCTGCCAATGGGTTCATGGGGAGAGAGAGGCTTTTTGGTTCGACATCGATTTGTAATTCTTTCTTCAATTCTATGGCTTTCTGTATTAGACCAGATTGCGTTTTCAGATGTCTTGGTCTCTTCTCATATGTGCTGAAGAACTTATCCATGGGAATGCGCAGTAGATTCTCATACAAGATCAAGGCCTTCTCTTTGATAAGGGAACATATTGTAATGCTAATTTTCCAATAATAATTGAGTGGGAAATTTTTTCAGGGAAGAATATCTTTGACATGCAATGAAATTCAACACCTTCCACGCGTGATTCTCCAAGTTGTCGCAAATGATTCGGACAAAGGTCAAAATGCAGAGTTGGAGTATTCCCTTCGTTTTGACAACGAGACAGAGCAACTGATAGATAAGAAACGACAGGAACAAAACAAAACCACCATCATGTCCGATGCCCCCTGGTTCGAGATCGAACCGCGATCTGGGGAGATCAGTCTGGTTGCTGTAGATGAACTCCTTTCCACATGTCATACTGAGAAGAGGTTAAAGAAGGAACTGGGAAGATTTGGTCTCATCGTTAGTGCATCTGACAAAGGAGAACCAAGGCTCACTGCCACTGCGCCCGTGCAAGTTCGGTTCACGACTTCCAATTTGGATCAAACAGATGCAGTATGTTTGACTTAATTTAATAATGGTGTTTACCAGCCTCACTAATAAGTTTGCACTGGAATTATAAATACGGTTCCAGCTGATGTCTACGCCAGTCATATTGCATTCGAGAAATGCTAATCTCTAATGTCATCTAGATGAAACTTATTTAGCAATAGTAATAATTCACAATTTAAATTACCTTTCTTATTCTCAAGTTGGTAATTTACTTCCTCCTCATTGCTCTGACATGATAGTAGAATCCCCTTAATTGAAATTCACGACGTGATCAATGTCCAAATTTACGTTAATTTGATTACCTTCGTTTAAAATAACATCAAATCGAAAGTTGATAAAACTAATTATGTTCTTACACAAGTTAAACTGAATTGTGAAAAGTTTGGTACATATATAAGCTCATTAATATATGGAGTAAATTTGACAATCAGAGATTGGTGAAGAAGATCTGATCAATCTTCCTATTCTCTGTTAATAATCATTAGGACAACGTTTATGTGGGCGCTTAAATACCTCATTTTGAAACCTTGTAAAACGCCAAATCAAGATATTATCATGTATACTAAAGAGTTATATGCTATTGAATTAGCAAAATATTTGGCAAAAGTTAAGAGATTAAATATCATCAATTAAACAGGAAATGGAGTGAGTTGAAATTTTAAAGAGATTGATTATGATATTAAGGGAATCGTGTAAATAATAAGTCAATTGAACCAAGTTCAACTGTAT